GGGGAGTAACATTGGTGCTCAGTGAGGGGTAAGGGGGAGTAACATTGGTGCTCAGTGAGGGGTAAGGGGGAGTAACATTGGGGCTCAGTGAGGGGTAAGGGGGAGTAACATTGGGGCTCAGTGAGGGGTAAGGGGGAGTAACATTGGTGCTCAGTGAGGGGTAAGGGGGAGTAACATTGGTGCTCAGTGAGGGGTAAGGGGGAGTAACATTGGTGCTCAGTGAGGGGTAAGGGGGAGTAACATTGGGGCTCAGTACAGATATCGCAATGTGCTCGGCTGTATAGAATTCAATAAAATGTCATTTTGTGACATTTCAATAAAGTTAAAAAAAAAAGTTAAACAATGGAATATAAACGGATCATAAAACTCCTATTGAAAGACATTTTATAAAACTCTCCGGAGTTGTTCCGGCCAGAAGAAATGTGATATGCAGCAACCGAGCAGACCCCTCCCATCCCCCCCACAGTATACAGTATATCTCCACACAAAGCACTATATACACCCCATTCATCCCTGTGTACCCCGCACACCTTTCCTTCCTGTTCTCCCTCCTCAGTCTCTGCATCGGGGGGGATTGGTTGGGGTGGCGGGTATATGCAATGGGGACAGGCCGGTGACCCCCTTAAATCTGAATATTGCAAAATAGAATTTGTTTGTTTCCTGCAGGTCTTCATTTAGAACTGACGGGCCCCTCCACATTCCACAGAAGAGAGGCTCTCTGGCTGTGATCTTTTATTGCCCCAGTCCAAGTGAAATTCCAAACTCTCTCTGTAAGCCTTTTATGGCTGTCATTAATTAAAGGCATGGCACCAAGCATTCATATATTAGGATTGGACAAGTTAAAATAACCCAAGCAGGTCTGCTAGGTGGTGACCCCGGGGACCCTCGCATCCTCTCTAAAGTCATAAAATCTGAGTTGGAAAATCAAGTTACATTTTATTAATTTGGAGTTGGGCGGGGATAGGTAAACTAAAGGTTCATCCTCCGCCTGCTTTCCCCGTCTAGGGGCCGGCTCCGGGACACCCTCCAACAGGGGCTTATAAAATATTCTGTGTTGGCAACTAGAGGGTCTCTTTGTTTTACACATCATCGAGGAACTAGAAGTCTCAACATCGCAGAAGAGTTCCCCTTTAATCTTTGGACATTATCTGCTGGAAGTCGGCTTGAAGGAGAGTCCGGCAGACTTCCACTTTGCTTTTTGAACTCTGAACTCTGTCAGAACTCCCAATTCCAGGACTGTTGAGTATTCCTCTTTTATTCCCTTTTATTTTGCTGTTGTATATATATTGTGTCTCTTTTATTACATATTTTTCTGTATATTTTCTGCACCGCTTATTTTATTAAAGGACGATATTAGAAATCGTTAAGCTTATCTCTACGCTCTAAATACGAACTTAAAGTCTCCTTGCCTCTCTAAAGAGCGCTACTGTATAGTGAATCCTGTCATATTCCTGTCTGCGAGGACAGCGCTATCACAGGCATTGTTTAAGTGTTTTGAATAGTCGCAGCATTTGCTGGGCACGGTTTGTATTCCGAAAAACACATGGTGGCAGTGGAAGTTTGGTGGGTAACGGGTTAACTGCGGAGTTAACCAACCCTGGTGACGATCGCTCTCAGTCTGCTGGCCTGAGATTGTGTCCTGCGAGCTGGGAAATCTCTGCGCAGGGCGAGGCTGAGAGTGGTATCGCCTCGTCCTTGTGACGCTCACGCTCGGTTCAGACTCGTGTATGGTCACGTGGGATTGACGTACGGCGGGTCTGGGCCGGGCGTACGTCACATATTGGTGGCAGCGCGGTGGGATAGTTCTGTTTAGAGCATTTAGTGTAGCGTTAGAACTTAACTCTGCACTAAAAGATTGTAAACTTTTTGCAACAGTCTTTAGAGATAAGCCGGTGTATAGTTTTGTAATTAAGAGACATATAGCAACAGTTCCCCTCCCCCATCTTTTTTTTTTCTGTCTTTTATTTTGCAAACATGCCTGGTCCGGCAGAGTACAAGAAAATGAACAAAGATGATCTGACTATTGTGTGTCAAGCAAGGAACATGGACACGTACAATAAATCACGGGAGGACATGATACGTGACCTGCATGAGGCGGATATACAGGCAAAGCCGATCCTGGATAGACCGGAGGAAGAGGTCTCAGCCTCAGAGCAGCAGGGTTCAGGTTTAGCCCCGAGGGGTGAGAGTACGGAGACTGAACCAGAGGTCATGGCGAATATCATCTCCAACCCATCGAGTGATCCGTCCAGTACCAGAATGCCTGTACCCAGCGGAAACTCTCCTCAACGGCAAGAAGTTCTGCAGAGGTTAATGGGCGCAGACCCTGTAAGTTTCCTACCTGCAGTTTCTGGAGCGTCAAGCAGAGAGAGAGGCGGCGGATCGCAGAGCAGAGAGGGTATCGGCCCGAAGGCATGAATTGGAGATGGCTAAGCTCCAGCATCAGAGACAGGGACCAAACCTCAGTTCCCTAGAGCACAGGGAAGTACCTTTGGCTGTGAGTCCTACAGCCGAATTTCCAGTTATGGACAAGGACAGTGATATTGATACCTACCTGCTATCCTTTGAGAAGATATGCAGGCAATACCACTTGCCTCAGAACCAATGGCCCAAATATTTGACGCCAGGACTGAGAGGAAAGGCTCTGGATGCTTATGTGGAAATGCCACCTGAGCAGGACAACGATTACGAAGCCTTAAAGGAAGAAATCGTCAGGAAGTACCAGCTGACCCCAGAGGTGTATCGCAGACGGTTCAGATCCCCGCAAAAGGGGCCTGCGGACTCTTTTCTGGATGTGGTAAGTCGCTTACGTACCACATTCCGGCAGTGGACCAAGGGGCTGAAGAAAGTGTCTTACAAAGCCCTGGAAGACCTGATGATCCAGGATCAGCTCCTGTACATCTGCCCCACAGAAATTAGGCAGTTTGTGCTGGAGCGAAAGCCAGAGTCTGCCACAGAGGCCGCTGAACTCGCAGATACCTATACCAACACTCGGGTATCTGACCATCGCCGAGCCCCCCCTAGTGGCTGGAAAGGAGGGAAATCGCTAACGGCAACGCCTGCTACAGTGGTGAGTCAGCCTTTCCA